AGTTTAAGCCTTCAAAAAATCCTCAGTCAAAACCAGAAATGAATGGCAAAGAAAATGCTGAAGTGTATTTGTAAATGGAGATTATTTAGTGTGGAATTAGAACTCAATAAAAAGTATAAGGACAGAGTACAATTTCAGTGAGAAGAACAGAAGATAAAACACAGGAGAACTTGCATGGTGCTGTCCTTGCACATGTTATATACACTACAGTACACCTGTATCACCAACACCCCAGTCTGATCAAAACCTCTGCAGAGCAAGCCCACGACACAACAGCACAGTGCACAGCCAAACTAATCCAAAGAGATCCAATATGATCACCCTTTATAGTCTTTATAATGCACTTAGGGACTCAGGAAATCCCCTCTAACCACCGTGCAAAGCAAGAAAATTACGTGAGCAGTGTGACAGGCTGACCCCAAGCAGGCAAACAGGGATTCCACAGCAACCAGTAAAGCCCAGTTCTCCTGGTGGCCTTTGGCACTGACGGTTTGCTGGAAAGCAGCAAGCACAAGGCAGGCACATCAGTGTGACCGTGCAATCTCAAAAAGCTCATTTCTCTGCCATGCACAATGCATGCCAAATCCTAAGATTCCTGCAGCATCCAGTTATGAAACTACAATAGAAGAGGAAAACAGATGGCTAAAGCCTTTTGGAAAAAAAAAAAAAAAGAAAGATTAAGCCTTACTTCATTTCCAAAAGAGAAATATGTGTATTTGAGAAGAGAGAGCCTACTTCAGACCATACCTAATCGATATAAAAATAGGCAGCTTGCCTCATGGACATGAAGCCTGTCTTCAGTTAAAGCTTCTGAACATATGAAAAGTTTAACCCTTTTAAGCATCATAGCTCACCGTATTTATAAGCAGGATTTAAAAGCAAAGCAGTTCATATAAGAAATGACAGAAATTACAAATATTGTACAAAAATAACATTTTTCTTTATCTCTCAAGCAACCCCTGAACACAAATCCTGTATAAAACCTCTGTGTTTACACCTTTCCAGCCTTTGTAAGCAGTTGGCACCTATGTTCAGGTGAGCAGCTTTCTTGCTCATAAAAGCATCCAATGAGGAATGACAAGTTAGGAACTTGGCAGCCTGAATTCTCTCAGTTCAGCCATTCTCTGTGGAAACCAGTCAGTATTACATTTGAAGCCTCTGTTGAGTTCTTGACTTGTGAGATATCACACAACAATAAGGAAACAGAAAAGCCACCCTAAAGAGCTCATGTGTTCAGCAGTAGATGTTTCAGCAGCTCTATAAAACTGCTATCAGAGCTTCAGGTCCAAGTACTGGAAGTGATCTCTGGTCCAAAGGGGAATTTCCTCCTGTGCTGAGCCTGGATCTCACCCATCTCTGTTCTGCCAGAGCAGAGGCCTCCAGCAGCTGGGCAGCCCCAGGTTACATAGAGATTCATGCTGGGCTGGCAGCTTGAGCCAGGACCAACAGGAGCCCTGGGCTTCCTCAAACTGGCAGCAAAGCCAAGGGCACCCCAAGCAGGGCCTGACACCAATGCTCAGGAACTGCACAGGTCACAGCATTCCAGCTGCCAGGGATGCCTAGCACACTCCTGCCCCACACAGCACCCTCTGCCCGGCAGCACAGAGCAGGGAATAAATACAGCTGTTCTGTGCAAGCACAAGCACAATGAATGAGGCTGGATTCTGGTTTTACTCAATGACTCTGCACTGAGGATAAGCACTGAATTAACTCCCTGGTGTCACATGTGGTCCTTTCAGGCCAGGGCTGCAGTTCACTGGTGAGGCTCTGTGGAAAATCCTGAGCTGCCCCAGCTTAGTCCAAGGGTAAATGGAGGATGACACACTCCAGCACTTTCAAGCAAGCACCCTTCAAAAAAATCAACTGCTTATATGATTAATGCAAAGTACTATGTTTTTGCAGTAGCAGGAGTCACTAATCCATATTAAAGACCAAGACTACATCTGTTTATTTATTTATTTTTAATGAAAGGTTCTAAATAAACCAACTGTTCAATTTTTCAAAGGTACTGAGCAGCCACAATAATTAGGTCTGGGTCAGTGGGAGCTGCCAAAATGCCACAGAAGTGACTCAGTCCTGTTAATTATCTGAAAAATAAGGAACAGTGACAACACTGGACACTCCATCACGACCTATCTCCCCCAAACACACCACCAAGGAAAAGCAATCATTTGTGAGTGGCTGTGTGTAACCATTGGTAGAGACGAGAATTAGAAATTATAGAGAGGAGAAAAAGCAAGGAAAGGTCCCCAATCTGGCCAAATGCTTAGAGATAATAAAATCCTTTAAAAAAGTGAAGCAGCAACACTACAGCAGTGGCAACTTCTTACAGTGCCAGGAGAATGCCAGAAAAGAAAAAGAACAGGAGCTATTTTAAACACGAGGTTATAAAAAAAAATAAAACATAAAAAGAACAACCAAACCAAAAACTCCAATCAATACAAGTCCAGAGGAAAGAGGGTATTAAAGCCAACCAGAAATTCACCCAACCTTGCACACTATCCACAATCAGTACAAAAATACTCTAACACACAAGTCTCTTTCTGAAGAGTCAGACAAATGCAAAGCTAACAGAAGACAGCAGTGCACAAAAAGGAACACAGCCTGTTTTGGTCATGCACAATCCTTGCTCACAGACACTTCTCAGTCCCAGTGTGTTTATGACTGTGTTGTCATTTACTTTAAAATATGAATGGAGCATTCTTTTCCTCCAGAAACACTGCATTGTTAAAATGCCAGTACATTAAAATAACTTACTGCTTACTACATTTCAATCAAACAAACTACAGACTACAGCACTGACACTTAATATATATTGAGTGCTTTCAGCAAGAGCAGCATATGGAGTTCATTTCTGGCATTTTGTTCTCACATGGGCCAAACTCAGAGGCAGGACAGAAACAGATGAAGCAGTGATCCTTTGGGCATGCACAGAAACTGTATCTCCTCCAAAGTTAGGGAAACACTTAGTTGAAGGCTCTCAAAATACATAAATATTTAACCCTTCATTTCTATAGAAGTTTGATTTATGGCAGAAATATAATATTTTAGGTTGCATGCTTAAAGAACATTTTTTGTTAAGGTTCTCAAAATAACAGGAAGCAGAATCAAAAAGCTTACAGTCAAAGGACTTTATGAGCTATGTTTTCCCCATTGTGATTTTTCCTAGAATTCATCCACATTTCACCACCACACTGTTCCTTTGTAATAACCAACACAAGCACTGATCTTGTCTATATTTAAACTCAAGAATGTAGAATGAAGGTTCAGAAGGATGACCTGTTTGCAAAAAATTAGTTACATATCTGAGGTTTGGAATGGCTTTCTCACAACTTCATACCCAGACATTCTCCTAGGTGGGCACTCTCAGTTATGATTAACCAATGAGCTGCCTGTTTCTAAAATACCTGAGCAATGCCTGTTTCTAAAATAATAACATATTTCACAAGATAATTTTGTGTATGACTTTTTCTTAAACCAAAGAAAGGTTAGCTGCAATTCCAATGCAAACATTCCCCTGCAGGATTTTATACTTAAGTGCTGAAGCATCCTGCAAATTCTCAGCAATGAGTGAATCAAAATGAAAATGAAACCTAAAACACCCTCATTAATGCAAAGAGAACATAAAAAGAAATAAACCCAACTGCTGAAACAAACCTGATCAACTACAGTTACTCTGGAAAACTCCTTGGCCTCCTTGAGACAGCAGATCCCATAAGATAATCAGGACAGCTTCTGTCAACTTCTACAATGTTTCCATTTGTAGTTTACTCTGTGAAACCAAGTTCAACTTCCAGAAAAATTCTGTTTCTTAAACATCCTAAGCATGAAGACAACTTGCTAAAAAAATCCCAAACGTTTACCCTGACAGTGTTCCTTTAAGGCAGAGCAGTGTGCAGCCTTCCAGCATATTTGACAGAGATTTCCTACTCCAACAGATAGAATTTAAATTTGTAGAGGCAATTACTCATAACCAGTGAAAGCAGCCAATGCATGTACCAAACTTGCCAACAAGAAGAAAGGCCAAGTATTAGAAAGGAGGCTGCAGTTTATTACAAGGCAATTTGAACATCTCAGTCCACGAGGTCTGGAAAGTATTTTCTTCATCCCCTGACACTACATGCTCACACTAATGTGAGGAATTATGTCGGTAATATCAATATTCCAAACATATAAAACAGCAGTTAAGTATTTATATAATGGAGATCTTCCCCTGACTACTTAAAAGCTGCTTCTAGTCTTGCCTAGCAGATTTATTTAAGCTCATTTTGCACAGGAAAGATGATGTGCCAGACCCACACCATTAACTGCTGTCTAGTCAGCTCCAAAGCCATCCAACTGGACCACCATCGAACATAATTCCTCCTGATTAAACAAACACCTTAAGGCAATTTCCAAGGACCTGCCTCTTGACCCTTCCTGTTAAAAAAGACAGAAAGGAAAATGGAAAAGCAGAAAGAGAAACATGACCTCCTCAGGTAAGGAAGTCAAAAACCAAAATGGGCATCCAACCCATGTGTCCCATGACCACCATGTCCAGGACTGATCTCCAGTGCCCCTGTCAAACAACTCAAGGGTCAGCAGATAACCCTCAGCATCACCAAGCTGAATTGGCAGCTGGAAAAGAGCTCATGGGAAACATTTCAAAAGAATATTAAGAACCAAATAAAAATCCTCACTAAAAACCCCAAACTGACAACCAAAACCACACCAAGTCACAGTTGTGAGCTAACAAATGTACCCCCCTCTGCAAGGTAAAAACAATGCCAGCCCAGAAAATCAATAGCACAGAGCAAATCCAGCAGGTCAGGTCCAGGGTAACCACACAGCAAAGCCAGCACTCACTGGGAAAGCCAAGCAGCTCATGCACCTCTTCTGCAATGGGCTGGCAGGAGAAGGTAGGGGGATGCAACAGCAGGCACCTACCACACAAAGCAGCATTTCCTATTTCAGCACCAGCAACTTACACCATTATTTTTCACACATGAGCTGCTTCTTACCATTTTTTGGTGCACTCAACCATCAGTTCCTGGTAAGAGGCCACAAACTGGAACTTGGATGCATGTTTCCCAACACGCTGCAGCCTTTTCCAAACTGAAGCCATGGTGGTGAGAAACACCAGTCCTCTTACACAGCAGCAGCTGCGTGAACACCAGCGTTGGTTTCAAAGAGCGTGTGTGCTTGAAACTAGCAGGTTTATATACAGACACAGTAAAAAGAGTGTGGGAGAAACTTGACAGGACGTCTACAATCCATACTCTGCCTCTCCCCTTCTCAGGGTAAATCCCAGTCTAGCGGAATGGCTCAGCACTGGCCAGGAGCAGCATGCAGTAGCAGTAGACAGGTAATGGAAAGTAATTCTCTCATGGAATCATCATTCTTCACACAGTAGATGAAGGGAAGACTGCAGGACTGGAAGACAAATGAGACAGGGAGAAGAGACAGCATTGGTTAATACACTTCTCACTAAGTGCTGCAATTGCACGTGATCTCGTACCTTTCAAAGAACTACAAGCAGCCACAACAACACAGCCCTTTCCTGTTGCCATCTACACCCCCCACAACCCCAATCAAATAAATAAATAAATAAAAATACTGCAGCAATTTCAGGAATTCAAACCACGAGACTGTTCGGAAACATATCAACGTATCCTATTATCAGCAACATCATAACTGGCAACAACAACAAAAAAGGGCAGCTCGGGGCCACACGGAATCCTTGTGCAGCATCTCCGGGAAGCAGTGCAAAGTGGCTGAGGTGCTACCAACATGCACCCAGAGGGAGGGACACCGGGAGATGAAGTTCTTTGTCTTGATGACAAAAGGTGTAACAGTTGTTCCTCTAACACACCTCCCGCTTTCATCTCTCGGTCCAAAGAGAGGGATCAGCCAGGAAGACAGAAAGGGAGTGCTGCTGCCCAAATGCCCGTGCCAGGGTGAGGAGGAGGGCGAGAGAGGAAGGGGCATTTCCCGAGTCCTGGCTACCCAGGATTCCCCATCTTCCTCGCTGCATCATATTGAAATGGAAATGTCTCTCCATCCTGCACTGAGGAATGATCATCAGGGAAGTGAAAAGGGAGAGCAGAAACCCAGGTGGGTCTCCTCCCTCGAAAGGAAAGCAGCATCTGCGCTGGGTGCGGAGGGAAAAGCCTCTTCATTACGAATACAGGGAAGCACAAGCTGGCCGCAGCTGGCGAGAAGTCAGGTTAGGATGGCATCAGAGCTGGCGAGGAGAGTACCTGAAGTGGAATGGCCCCCAGGAGAGAGGGTCCCCAGGGAGCTCCGCTCCGCCTCAGCAGCCCGTGTCACCTCCGCGCCCAGCCCGCCGGGCAGCGCCCCCCGCCCTTGGCCGGGAGCCGGAGCCGTTTAAAAATTAAAACGCCACCGGCGGAAAGCAAGGAGGGGAGCGGCGGCCTCGGGAGCGGCGGGAGGGAACGGGCGGCTCCCCGCGCGGCACTCACCTGCCGCCGGCTCCTCGCGGGCGGTCCCGCCGGGCGGGCGCGCTGGCACCACACGGCAGGCGAGAGTCAGCGCTGCCGCTGCCCATTACTGCAGCAGCTCCGCCGCCGGCAGCGCCCGGCGGCTCTCCCCGTCCTCCCGCAGCCTCATGGCGAGCACGGCTCCCCCGCCGCTCTCCGCGCCGGCCGGGCAGACAGCGCGGGTCGCAGCCCGCCTCACACCGCCACCATCGCCCCCCTGCCGGCGCTGCGCGGCGCCTCGCCCCGGCCCGCCGCTCCCCCGCCCCCGCCGCCCGCCGGGACCCCGCCCACGCCGCATCATTGGCCCGGCCGCGGGCCCTCCGCGGCCCATTGGATGTCATGCCTGTCAATCATCCGCGCAGCGGAGGAGAGAGGTGGTGACAGGAGAGAGCTTCGCAGATCCTCATCTCCCGCCCCAGCCTACTCTGATTGGTCACGGAGCTCGAGGAGGCGGAGCCCTCCTGAGGAGAGGCTACTGGATAGGTCAGCGCCGCCATCTGTCAACGGCGCTTCCTAAAGCAGCGGGGGTGGGGCGCGGCGCGAGGAGCAGGGGCGTGGCTCCGCCGCCGCCCCCGGGACTCGCCACCGCCCCAGGGCCGGGGAGCGGCGGGAAGGGAAGGGAAGGGAAGGGCCGGGCCAGGCCAGGGACGGAGGGAGCCGGGGAGGGAACAGTGATGCCTCCCGTGAGGCGGGCGCGGGGAGGCTGGAGGCAACGAGCGGCCGCGGATGGAGGCGGTGGGAGGGGAGGAGGAGCCGCTGCGAGGGACAGTCCCCGCGCTGCGCCCGCCTTGGGGAGGGGGCGGTCGAACGCCAGGCCTGACCCAAGTCCTGCCGCACAGGCCCAGCTCCTGTGGGGGCTCCGGAGCTCGGCTGCGGCTGGGAACTGGTGGGAATTAAATACCGCAGGCAGGAGGATGTTCCTGTGCTGATTTAACCTGCGTGCTCAGGGAGCGGCCCCCAGGCGGCGGGGGCTGGATGCTGTGCGCAGTTCGATGTTACAGTGTCCGCAAGGGAGAACGGAGCAGTGAGAGGGGCGGTCTCCGTGCGATGCAGCTCTGAATTCCCCCTGGCCACGCCGGCAGAACGCTGCTCCTGCACTGCAGTGCCGTGAAGGAGGTGTGGGGACCCAGATGCAAAGCCTCGGTGCTGGGTTCCAGCAATAATCTAAAATTAACCCGTGACTTGCTCTGGTTCCTGCTCTTGTTGCCCACGTTCCCTCTGCACACCCGTACAGGTGTGTTCAGGTTTGGGATCCCAAAGCACCGTTTGCTGCAGGTGAATTCCAGAGTCAGGGTAGTGCTCTCTGGGAGCTAATCCTAAACCTATCAGCCATCCAAGTCAGAAACTAAGCCAGCTATCAAGTGGAAGCACAGGGAAATAACGAAGATAATGCTGTGGAGCTCTAAGAGCAGCTGTAAAATTGAAGCCTCGGGGCTTTGCAGTCCTCTGTCTTCTTTCCCATGACAAACCAAATGGAGTCCAAGCCTGATCCACAGTCTGGAAAGCTCCTTATCCCAGTGTTTTCCTCCTTTCCCCTGATCTGCCTCTCGCTGTTGTGGCATATCGCAGAGGCTGCCAGCATTCAGTGGCTGGAGTGAAAGAATGACTCTGTGAATGGCCACAGGCCTAAGCTGAGCTAAGTTACTTCAGAGAGGTTGAATATTTGGGCTATTGAAAAGGCCAGCCCTTTGCTTATAACGTATTACTCTTCAGCCCTTACCCCAGCTGCCAGAGGGTGTGCACTTGGAGCTGTCCTGGAAGAAGAAGTGATTCTCTTTTTTTTTTAAAGTGTTACACTGAAATGTTGCAGATAGTTGTACTACTCATACAGATTTTCTTGGAAAATCGTTTTTTATTTCCCCTGAATATTTTTGAAGTTAAGCAAAAAGATTTGAAGATTTTGTACATTTGTCTTAACATACCTGTCCCAGTTTTGCCGCTGGTCTATACACACAGAGTAATTCCTCAACACACTTGAGGGAGACATCACTGGGCTTTTTAAGTGCAGATTACCTGCTTAGGATTTGAGAAATGAGGCCAGGATTTCCAGAGCACATCACACTGAGAACATGCAGTATGGAGCACACAAATGCTTGGTCCTGACTTGGAAAATACCAGATGGAAAACTGGCAGCTGTGAAGTGGATCAAGCAAGGCAATTTAAAATTCCAGTGGCCCTGAGGAGAGCCTTGGTTCTTCATACCAGAGAAATATCAAGTAATCAGTTGTGCTGATTTTCTTTCAGAAGTTGTCTTTATTCTGAGTATATTACCAAAAGTTAATCCGTGAGCTTCTCTGATTTATCTCCTGAATAACCTGCAGCACCAGGTTATTCAGGAGATAAATAATAACCATCCAGGCTAATTCCTAAGACATACCTGCAACCAAGATCTTACTTTCCTCAAACTGAGATAGACATTTTCTGTCCAGTGGAATAAACACAGGAGGTCTGATGGTTTGTTCAGTGACTTGTGTTTCAAACATCATTATTTATTAACATTTTCCATTTCCTTCATAGCTTTTGGGTTCAAGTTACGCCAGGCTGGGAAGTGCACAGCATAAGGCTGCTTTTGCCTCTGTTGTGTGGGGAGAAATGCAACACAGGCAATTATCCCACCAGTTATATATTTTACAGTTTTTAAAAGCAGCCATCCTCAGTTCTTGTGATTTTGGGGAAAGCCTTAGGAGATTTCAAAGGGTGAGAGGAATTTCTGTGGGAGGGAGGGCGAGATCTTCAGCTGCAGATTGGAAGCTAGAGGCCACCACAGCATTCTCAGGTTACTGGACTGAGTCTTGCACCAGACCAACTCAAAAGCTCTTGTGACTTCTGCTGGCAGCTCAGAGCCCAGAGGAACCAATGAATGGCAAAAAGGGATTAGCAAGGACATGGATGAAGAGCCCCAAAGCTCCTTCTTGGGTCAGAGCACTCGGATGGGTCAGCAAGGAGCCCCCCTGTTGGCTTCACTTCCATACTGCAAACATCTCTTGCCTGGTCCTGCTGGCCACAAGCCTGGTTTGTGAGAATGACCCAGCTCAAACTAATGCTCAGCTCAGGATCTGAGCCAAGCTTTGGGGAAATTGTGGCATTTTTACTTAATTCAATATTATGAGCTTGAAAACAAAGCTAGTTACACCAAGGTACCCAGTGCTCTCTTTTAGGGTCAGCAGCTGAGTGAACAACTCTTGTGTGACTCCCAAAGGGGTCCTTCTGATTACAAAAAAAAAAAAAAAAAAGGCACTTCATGTACAAATGAAAAATCTCTTCTGCAAGCAGGAATGAATAGGGAGGTACTGTTTTATTATTTAACATGTATGACACAATCTATTTAAACCATATGTGTATCACACCTGCCGTCTTCCTGCTGCCTTGCTTGCCTATGGAAGGACACCTGAGGAAGTGTATTTGTGTATATTTGTGTTGTTTGTGTATCACCTGTGTTGTCCTGGGAGTGGCATGGGACAGGATGCTGAGAGCTGCTCCAGCTGGGAGCTTGGTGGGGCTGCCTAGGGAAACCCCACATAACCTGACCATGTTCTTTATCAGCAGCTAGTTTCACCAAGGACACGGTTACTATTCAAAAACTCGTGCTCTGTGCCTCTTTTCCCCTTGCTATCCTGACACTCAGACTCCCTCACAATCTCCACAGAAAATCCTGTGTATATTTTTTTCAGGATTTTGCCTCCTGTTCCCTGGCTTTGACTGATGGTGGAAGAATTCAAGTCTCCTGGCCCAAGCAGAGAGATGATCTATGCTCTATTTCTGTTATTCCCTGTCAAGCTTTAAAGCTCTCCAGCCTCTCCCTTATCCCTCAACGCCTCATCATCAGCATGACTAAGGACAGGTTGTTCACCAATCAAGAAATGACCTTTGCTAGGAATAGCTGTCATAAATCTCCATTTCCCTGTCCTTCTGTGCATGAGCCTGCAGAAATGTCACTGAGGAAATCAAGGAATTGGATTATGTCAGATTTGCAAGAACATTCTGCTTTCTGAGGCAAAGGTCTGTGTACATGGGGTTACCCACACCTGCCATGTTTTAACCTCCTTGTATTTCCAGATCCCATCAAAACTTTGATCTCCTGTTAATGAAAGTAGTGGAGAATTTGTGCTGACCTCAGTAATATGGGTAAAGTACCACCCTCCTGCTCCCCAACGTGTCTCTAACTGTGCTTGACACTTTAACATTCCCTTCTGTAACAAGTAATATTACATTGTCTGCTCTTTTTTGCTTCTTCACATCCCAACAGTAGTTAAAAATCCATGTGTGTATATATACACACACACACATATATATATACATACACACACAACAAATCATAGTATACATAGGGGGGAAAAAAAGGAATTTTTTAATCCCTCCCTTCTTCATTTGTTTCTTGTTTGTTGCTGATACAATTCCACTCAGATGTCATTTCACATGGTCTGGTAAGACCCAGCAGTCATTCTGTATTGGAGGGAATAATGTTTTGGATATTCCCTCTGCTTAATATCAGTGACAGTTGAAAGGGTTTTGTGTGTGCAATATCCCATTTTATTTGTGCTCAGAAAGCTTCACTTTGAGACTGGCAGCTGGGAAAAGGCAATTCCCACATTGCAGAACCAGACAGCCCAGCTCCTGTCACAGCCTAGACCGAAAGCAGAGCATTTCAGCAATACTCCCTTAAGCTGTGTTTAAGGCACAAGGCACAGAAACACCCCCATTTGTTCTTGCCTTGCCAGCCAAAGCAGTAGATTTTGGGATGCACTCTGGTGGGTTTGTGTTTTGTTACTGCTCTTGCCCAGGCTGAGGCAGGCAGCCCAGCCTGGCTCTTGCCTATGGACCAGCTCACCCGTGCAGCATTCCCAGCCCAGGCCAGGCCCCAGTGGAGCTGTGTACAGGCACCCACTGTCTGGAACCTCCTAATCCAGAGCCTGCCCCCTTGGAGAGCCCTGCTGCCAAAAGCAATTTGCAGGGCCAGGAGCTGGGGTAACTCACCAGCCCAAATTTCTTATGTATTTTTTGTTCTCCCACTCCTTGCTGTGGCTGGAGCCTGCACTTGTATGTGGTGAGACCCTGTTGTGCCTCCCCTGCAGAGTCTGTGCCAGAGGGGTACCCAAAATGCCAGCTCCCCGAGTGACAGCCTCATGTCACAGCCCTTTGCTCGCCTGTGCCCAGCTTCATTGTGCCACCCCAGAGGCACCAGGTACCCCCTGGCCTGCTCCTCTTAACC